TGACGAGCGTGTCGTCCGCATAACAGGTCAAGTCAGCGCCCGACGGGAGCTCACCTCTCAGCACCCAGTCGTAGCCGATGTTCCACAGGAGCGGTCCCAAGACCGATCCCTGCGGAACACCGCACGACATGACGCGTCGACCAGCGCTGTCACGTCCCCAATACGTGACGCATCTCTCCTCAAGGTAGGCCCCTATTGTGCGGCGGAGGTAGGGAGGCACGCGATGGTAATTAAGCGCCTCCCGAATACAACTCCAGGGTAGGGTGTTGAAGGCGTTGGAGATGTCTAATGACACCGCCAGCACCACCCCACCCCGGGATACTGTCTCCTCCGCCAGGGCCCTCACGCGCGTAATAGCGTCTATGGTGGAGCGCCCGCGACGAAAACCAAACTGGTTCTCGTCCAGGTCTGGCCCCACTCTGCACAAGTGGCTGACGAGGCGATCTGCGATGATACGCTCAAGAAGTTTGCCCGCCTCGTCGAGCAGCACTATGGGCCGGTACGCGGACGGTGAGTCCGCGGGGGCGCCCCTCCTTCCTGAGTAGGACCAGCCTTCCCTCCTTCCACACACTGGGAAGCTGACCCTGCTCGAGACATGCCGTGAAGAGCCCCCCTCAGCTGGGGCTCCAGCTCCTTCAGAGCCAGGACGAGAGCTCGACCAGGAACTCCGTCGGGTCCGGGCGCTGTGTTCTTGGCCCGAAGTCGCGCCATGGCCGCTCTCATCTCTGCTTGCGTCACCTTGGGGACATCGGTGCTCTCCTCCTCTGGAGAGTCTGTGGCTGAGGGCGAAGCCATCGCCGGGGGAACGTGTCCCACTCGTTCAGGGAAGAGAACTGATACCACCGTCTCTAGCAACTGGGGTTGCATTGTTTGCGTTAGTGGGGGCGCCCAGGAACGCAACTTGCCCCGTACCCAACGGTAGGGGCGCCCCCACGGATCCCGATCTAGGGACCCCAGCAGCTCCTCCCTGGCACGCGACTTCGAGTCGCCGATGGCCAGCCACAGAGTCTCCTTAGACGCGCGGTACACCTCATACAGCGCGTCCTCCTCGGCGGAATCCCGTCGACGCCGTCTCCGGTATCGGGTGTACCGGCGTTGGGCCGCAACGCACGCTATGCGCAATTGCGCGATCTCGGCGGTCCACCAGTACACCTGGTGCCTTGCGGACCGTTGGCGGACACGGGGCATGGACGCGTCACAGATCTGCGTCATCGCCCCGCGAAACCATAGCGCCACTGCTTCGACGTCGACGGTACTGTCCGTTGCCGACTCCCAGATCCAGGACTGGACTAAGGCAGCTTCCTCGAGTAGTTCCCTGTCGATGCGCTTAAGCGCCCAACGCGGACCGTCGTTAATCGGGGTAGTTGGATGGCGGCCTCTCGCAGTCTGGGCAGAGACGTCGAACCGGATATACCGATGGTCCGACAACGTCTCCACCCCTACGGCGACACGCCAGTCGTGGACTCGGCTGGCGACAGAGGGGCTGGCAAACGAGACGTCCACTATCGACCCGCCCCGCTGCCGCACGCACGTGTATTCCGAACCCCGATTCAGGACGACCAGACCAGTTGTCACTGTCCACTCTTCTAGCACCTCGCCCCGAGGATCAGTGACCGGAGATCCCCACGCTGATGACTTTGCGTTGAGATCCCCGAGCACCAGAACGGGACGAGGGTGATAGCGGCCTACGACGGCGCCCAACTCGACAAGGAAACCCTCAAAGTCGGCGAGACTCTTGTTGGGGGAGAAATACGCCCCCACAATAACGATACCACCCGAGACCGCAGCAACCCAGCCACGGCCCCGAGACGGTTCGATCAGAGTCTCGCCAATAATGGCCACCAAACCGTCAGCGCATCCCAGCCAGTTGTCACGGGCGGGAATGAAGTACGGTTCGGCGACCACAGCCACGTGAATCGACCACTCTGCCAAGCTCTGGAGTAGGAGATCCTGAGCTCTGGCACAGTGGTTGATGTTGCCCTGGAGAAAATGGAACTTTGCCATTATTGGCATTCCATTTCCTTCTCAACGGTCCTGGGCCGGGAGTCGCCCGCGGAGCTGCTGGCCTGTGTGGGCAGCGAGGTTAACTCGGCAGGCTTGGTGCTCCTCTTCTCTTCTTTTTTGGCCTTGGACTTGCTGGTAGGCGCCCCACAGGCCCCTCCGCCTACTCTGTGCTCCGCTGGCCTTCCCGCAGCAGAGCAAAGGCTGCAGTTGAACGCCGCGGTGCACAGGGCCGCCTTGTGGCCAGGCTGGCCGCAGCGGTAACAAAGGTCACTGCGGTCAACCTCGGCGGTGCACTTCGCCCGGACGTGCCCTTTTTCAAGGCACCGGAAGCACTGCAAAGCCCGGGGCTGTAGCAGCTTCGTCCTTGCCGCCACCCAGCCTACCAGCAATCTGCCGCTATCGGCAACCTTCTTTGCCGCCGCTACAGGGCACCGAACCCAGACCGCGCCAAGTCCGGTGGCATCGGTGCGTATATCGCCGGCCCGCACCTTGTCCGGCGGACACTCTCCGCTTCTGGCAACGGCCGCCACCACCTCCTCAGATGTCACGGAGTCGTCCAGGCCAGCAATCCGCAATTCTGCGGTTTTCATTGGTCTGGAGACCCGGACGTCCTCAGGGTTGAGGACCTCTCTCATCTTGGCGGCCAATGCGTCCGCCTTTTCGGCACTGTCGCTCACAGTGCCAGCCACCTCGAACAGCCGCGCACCCGTGGCAGCCTGCCTGAGGGTGACGGACTGAAGGCCAAGATCTGATAATTTAATCTTGGCCTTGGCCTCAGCGATGACCGACTGGTACGTCACGCCACGCTCCACAGCTCCGGGCTGCAATGTTATTGTCACCGCATTGGACCGCGGAACACGTACAGCCGATTTCTTGCGACCGCCTTTGGCAGTCCGACGCTCAGGTTGAGGAGCCGTCTTTGCGGTTCCACCTGGGGCATGTGCAGCTGCTGCGGCCTTCTTGGCGGCTTTGCGGGCCTTCTTGCGGCCCACGACTTTCGCCCATGTCTCACCCTTAGACCCGGCTGTCGTGGGCTGGTCGCTCGGAGGAGCTCCTCCGCGGGCTTTATTTTACCCTCCATGGGCTTCCCCTTTTGAGGCGCAAGTCTCGGCGGCTCCTCAGTTCTCCGCGTGTCAGCTGCCAAAGGCGGACGTAGGGTTTCCGCCGGGAGACGCCGAGAAATCGCCTCCAGCCGAGCGTTAACCATGCTCCCGCACTGGAGCATGCAGAGCCGGACAATGCGCTCGACCTCTTCGTCGGTACGAGGGCTTGTCGGTCGCGGTGCGGGAGTCGGGGCCACTGCAGATGCGGCATCGGTGGATGTGCATCTCTGCTGCTGCTCGCTCAGTGCCGCGACTTGCTGCCGGAGGTCCTCTAGATCATTTCTGAGGCGGCTATTTTCCTCCTGTAGTTTGGCGACCTCGTCAGAGGCCGTCCTGTTGAGGAGAATGCCAACCGCCTCCCTGATGTCCGCGGCAGCCTCTTTTAAGCCACGGGTGAACGTGCCCTTCAGGCTGCCAGACTTGGTGGCAACCTTCAGGACTAAGTCCACCCCATCCAGAGCCAGCTGGCTCAAGGCCACCGCAGATGGCTCTCCTTTTTCCGCCGCCAGAGCAGCTCGTCGTTCGCGAGCACGTCGGGCCATTTCAGACACTTCGTCTGCTGCGACGGCTTTGCGCTGTTCCCTCTTGGCGGCGTTGAGCTCCCCCTTTGAACTCCCCAGCGAGGCACAGCTTTCGCCGCCATCGCCGGGGTCCTCCGTAGTGACCCCCATGTCACTCTCTGCTTCACTAGCCGCCGAGGTATTGGAGCACACGAATCGTCCGTGCTTATCCCTTCGCGGCTGCGAAGCATTTACCCCTCTCGATGCCTGCCGACCCCTCCTCGAAGTCGCCAACTTGGGGGCTGGCAGGCCTTCCTCGTCCGAAGACCGGCACACTGGACGTTTCCTGGCGGAAGACGTCCCACGCGATCTGTCCACGTCTGATTCATCCTTTTTTCCTACGTCTACATTTTTTAAAGTTTTATTCATTTTTTTTCCCACGAGTGTGGAGGAAGTAACGGTCCGTCCGAGCAGAGCCCCCTTTGCCCGGATAAGCCTATGCATAACCCGTCAAGGGTGTCGGCCGGTACCCTGACGGGGGGGCAACGCTAACGACTGAACATTTACCCATCAGCCATGCAGCTCCTCACGGCGTGCCACGCTTGAGCTTCGGGTGATTTTTTATAGAGGTTATCATCCTCGCGACTCCAGGCGGTTAAGCCAAGAGCCCTCGGCCCCTCAGGCGCCGCGAGACATGATCCACGACACGCCAAAGGGATTCCGAGGTTCGAACAGTGGCAGAGTCGATACGGGTTCTTCCCATGCCTGCCCATAGACCGGGTGAGGGAACTCTGAGCCCATTCTATTCCCGCGATGACGGGTTGCCCGGCGTCGGCAAAAGCCGAGTGCACCTGGCATCTCACCGCGCATGTCACATCCTCTGTTCCTCTCAGTGGAGAGGATACGGGAAGCAACTAGCAGGTACTTGATTCCATTCGGAACCAGAGGTACGCCCCAAACCCAGCCAGTTTTGGTCCGCGACGGTTTCCCGCTACCACTCATATCTGAGTGGCATTCCCCTATCCGCCACCTGGGGACGCGCCCGATGGGAGGACTGGCAACTCCACACGGGAACCCAACCTAACCTAACCCAACCCAACCCAACCCAACCCAACCCAACCCAACTAACCTAACCTAACCTAACCTAACCCTCGAGCAGTTCTGTTCAGTCAGTCGTCGGCATTGCTACGTAATGCGTGTGTGTATAGTCTGTGTCCAACGTTAGATACGTACGTACCAACTTTGTTACCAAAAGCTGTGCCACATTTTTGAGTGGATCGGATTATTTGCAGTGTTTGTGACGCTAGTGACGGATGTGGTGTTTAAGTGCTGAAACTTACATATATAGATATACGCTTAGAGACGCGAGCCGATGGTTCTATTGAATAGTAACATGAAAATAAACGTGGGCGGGATGTCGCGCGGCGGCAGCGGCGCCGGCAAGGCGGCGACCGCGAAGCGCGTGCCGCCGCCGGCCGTGCCAGGCGACGCGTTCGCCACCCCGCAGCACCGCCACTCGGGCTCCAGCTTCGGCTCGCAGGGGTACGCCTCCTGCGAGGAGCAGCCTTACCCGCAGCCGCCGGACACGCCGTCTCATACAAGAGATGACCACTCAGACTATGGCAGCACTGTATCGGGAGTGTCCAGGGCGAGCAGCAGTTTGGGCAAAAGCCCGGCTGGTGGCGGAACGTTCACATTTCCCCCACCATCGCAGCCGCTTACACATAAAGCTGCCGTATACTACCATCATCAATTGGCACTGAGCGATGATCAAGGGATTGACATGACACAGAGTCCGGGTCGAGACAGCCCGGGCTCGTCGTCAGGGTCCGCGGGTTCGGGGTCGCGGCACTCGTCCGCTTCGCTGGACAGCGGACGCGCGTCGGGCCGCCTGCCGCACCACCACCACGCGCCCTGCCACTGCGGCGACGCCGACACACTGCGCGCGATGATCGCACAGGGCCTGCCAGACTCGGACATAATTCACGCGTGGCTGGCCGACATCCAAATGGAGGAGTATGCGAGGCTGTTCATAGAAGCGGGCTACGATCTCCAACTCAGTAACCAAGTGAAAATAAATTTTTCTCGAGATCGCGTGGTAACCAAGTGAAAATAAATTTTTCTCGAGTTCGCGTGCATTCGAGTTAGCGAGTCAACATGACACACCGTATAGATTCGGAGAACGCTAAATAGATGTCACTTCAATAATTTACTTTAGTATAAGTCACCGCATCTAGCATATTGTAAACAAATGTAAACTTAGTTTGATTTATAATACCGTAGTTTATTTTTATTCCTTATAAGCCAGTTCTTAACCACAATCCAACCTAGTGGTAGGTGGTGATGCAGCCTTAAATGGTAAATCGCACTGTCTTAGCGTAACAAAAGCCTGTTCAGTCTTACCTTGAAGACGCCCAGATTGTACAGATTGTATTCGGACGGAAAGATAGACGCCGGCAAATTATTCCACTCTTTTGCTGTACGCATTAAAAAAGACGAAGTAAACCGTTTGGTTCTAATGCGTGGAATATCGACAACAAAAGGGTGAAGACCCGCCGACCGCCCGGTCCTCCGATGGTGGAAAAGGGAGGGAGGAATTAAAGCGTGCAATTTCTGCACACACTTTCCGAAATGCATCCTATAGAATATCGAGAGATTGGCTAGTCTGCGGCTATGCTCGAGGCTGACAAGGTTGGCTTCAATCAAATCAAGGTCACCAATGAGCCTCTTAGCACGTCTCTGGACTGAGTCCAACGCTGCCAGGTGGCATTTTGCAGCACCAGCCCATATGTGACAGCAGTACTCTATGCACGACTGGACTTGCGCTTTATATAAGGTAAGAAGCTGCCCCAGCGTGAAGTACTGCCGCACCCTTGCAAGGACACCAAGTTTCCTTGCGGCTGCTTTGGCTTTTGACTCAATGAACCACCTATAGTTGAGGTTCGGAGAAAATTTAACCCCTAACAACTGAAGGCGGTCAGTGTACTCCAAGGATACATTCCGGAAAGTAGGAACAAGGGTGAGCGGGCTCCTTTTAGCGGTGAAAAGACGCGCTTGTGTTTTGGAGGCGTTGAATCTCACGAGATTAACATCGCCCCATTCGGAGACTGCCTGTAATGTGAGATACACACGCTCAACTATAGCTTCTCTTGTGGACTGGATTTGATCCCAACTGGCCCGGGCACGTGGTTGGTATCTCTCCACAACTGTCCTACCGTCTGCATACCCGTAGATACCACGATACGACTGTCGACGACAACCCGGAGAGACCGTTCACTCAGAAAGTCTTTTACCCATTCACTTAGACTAAGGGACAAGCCGTACGCTGAAGCTTACCCAAATGGCTAGCGTGCCAAACTCTTTTAAAGGCCTTCAAGACATCAAGGGAAACAGCAAGTGCTTCCTCGCTGTTCCCGAGTGCCTCGCTCCAAACGTGTGCGCAAGTCATTCTATTCTAGGTATGCCACTAAGCGGACGTTCAATATACGCTCCATAATCTTGCAGAGTATGGAGGTAATTGAAATTATAATTAGACGGCTCCGTGGCGCAGTGGCTTCGCAATGGGTTACAGCGCTAAGAGCCGCAGGTTCGAATCCCTCATGGAACAAGTATTTGTATGGCACACAAGTAATTGTTTCGGGTCTGGACGTTTGTTCTTGTGAAATTTATGTATGTACTGCCCCCACGATACAAGAGAAGATCCTAGTGTGGAGGTAACGTTTTATAAAAAAAGAGAAAAAATGGCCGATATTTGGCAGGGTCGGTACAGCTACGTTTTTTGGCACAGGCTGCACATTGGCCAGCTTCCAAGATTTGGGCACTATTACAGTCCGTAATGAGACAGACCTTTAGAAATACAGCCGGTATTCCATCAGGTCCATTAGCTTCGTTCACGTCTAGACTTCGCAAGGCTTTTGAAGCTCATTGTTGATGATACGAATCTCTGACATAGAGGTACCGCAGTGATATAATTGAGACGGTACGCTGTTGTTACTATCCAGCCGCCGTGAATTGCGAGCAAAAAGAGAAGCAAATAAGTCCGCTTTCTCTTTAGGAACATGCGACAGTGAGCCTGGTTTTACCAGCGGAGGCAGTGTAGACCGACAGAAGTTTGTCTCGACCGCTTTGGCGAGAGATCAAAAAGCTCCACTGCTAGTCTTTGATAGAGGGATTTGTAGCGATGAGTTTAATGCGGTCGAAACTCGATTGCCGCAATTAACAAATAAGTAATAAAGATACAAGATTCTATAAAAAAAGATACTAAAGAAATACTTTCGAGATTTTTTTATTTATTATTCTTTCGTTACACTAATAGCAACTGCGGGTGGCTGTGGGCTGCAGCAGCCACTTACCATCCGCTGCTCCGCTAACTGCCGACACTTGGCGCACTGGCTTAACATCGAATCGCCGCGCTGCGGACCACGGGTTCGAATTCCGCGCGGAACAAGTATCTGTATGACTTACAGACTGTGACAATTTCGGGTCTAGATGTTTGTCCTTGTGAAATTTGTATACGTAAACTACCTCCACGATACATGACAAAATCGTGTGTAACTTTTTTTTTCAAAAATAAAAATAAAAGATCATATTGTGGATGTGTTGTGGACACGGCCGCTTGTTTTACCTGAATACGTGCACGTAACGAAACGACCTCAAAATGGCGGCGCTCGCCCACAGCTCTCACTCAACGTAACGCATTCTCTGATCCTTAAGATATAGAGTAAAGTAAAAAGTAGTTACAGTCTATGTACGTCCCACTGCTGGGCACAGGCCTCCTTTTATTTCTGAGAGGGTTTAACTATCGAGTGGTGTAAATAAGTTTTGAATGTAGATGATAGATATTGTTAGCTGCAACACCAAACTGTATCCGCGATTTTGTTATCATCAATTTTACTGATTTACCATCTACTATGGAAGCAAATTTAAAGATGTATTTACGTCAAAACGAGATTAATATTAATGTTATAAAGGAGATACTGACCACAAGATGTCGTTTGAGGCCCGCAGAGGAGTGGAAATCTCGTCCGCAAGTCTCGCAGTTGTACAGCTTCTCGCGCGTGTGGATATTTTGATGCATGGCTATACTTCCCGGCTATAACATAAAACACTTAAATAAATAATTAGACTTTTGAACGAAATAAAAGCCTTAAGGCAAGAATTTCCTATGTTTAGGTTTTAAGAAACCCGAATGACCTTGACGAAATAGAGATCGCAGTCTTTCGCCGATGTCAACACCTTCCAGCGACAACGCGCAGAACTTCTTCTGCACGTTTAAACACTAATGGACTAGTGGACTAGTGGACTGTGCGCTCGTTTGTCTCCCATGTTCTATAAAAAATATAATTTTTTTAGAACTTTTTAAAAAAACAATTCAGCCACACAATATTTTCGTCTACCTTTAACTATTGATTCTTTGCCCGATATGAAAACCTTTAAGAGGCACGTCTTTCCGACTTAGTTAATATTAATGATATCATTATAACTTTTAGACATAATTTAATATGTTTGTACATAATATAATATGTTCATATATAATATATAGCTGTCGCGGCGCTGTTGTCGCTCTACAAGCGAAACACATCGAAAGCCTAAATCGCGCTATGAAAATTCCGAAGTAAAAACAGTATATATATAATTAAAACGGATTAAAAGGTCGTCTTCGACTACCGCTGCTGGCCCTGGCTTGGTTCATAACAACCAAAATGGGAACGTCGTTCGTGCGTCTTCAAAACAGCTGATTCTTCAATCGGTCGAGGTTCGAGGAAATGCAATGGGCGTAACTTAGACGTTAACTCCGTGAGACAACTCTGTTTCTTAAAATAAAGTGGTGAACGCCTGAGATTACGGGTCCAGCAATTGGTTCCGGTCTAGACGTCAGACATAAACTTAGTGGACTGTATATCTTCTTTATTTCCCTACTTATAGGGTCGACACTAGTAAATAAAACAGCAATTTCTTGTAAATGCTTCGAGAAAATGTGATAAATACTTTTACTTTACTTTTCCCTAATCCGTTTTTCATTCTTCATTATACCTTATAACTGTAGCTAGACCCGAACAAATTGCAAATTAATTGAATTTATTAATTATTACTTAACTTCAAACAATGAAAAATTTTTGATTAGTGAGTATTTTTAATGTTCTTGTAAAACGATTCAACCTTGACCAGTGACGATGCTAATTACCTTTGCAAGTCGCTGCATCAAGTCCTTCGGGACCTATGGCAGTATATAAGAGGTTCTCGCTATCCCTCTCTATCATTTATATCTGTACTTGTTCATACATATACGCCTTTTCATTCTAACATTAAACTGTCTCTGTTTAATAGATTGAATCTTTAATTAAATCACAACGTAAACAAACAAAGTGCTTAAAAGTCATAATTGTTTTTAATTCTCTATTCATATCGAGTTACCTTATTGCATAGCTGATTGATATTTAAATATGTAACACATGCCTAAGTTACTATAATAACATTCATTCATTCTTTTCTATTTATTGTGGGTATTTGTGTATATATATAAAATAATATTGTATGCATGTAAGTAGTAATGTAAATGTATATGTATGTGTATTGTTTATTATCATTATATTATAATTTTGTATTTTTTCCTTAAACCTTTAATTTTTTTTAATTATGAGTTTTGCACCCATCACTAGATTCTCTGCACAAACCAAAGGTAGACTGGTAGAGAATGCCTTTAGGCATTAAGTCCGCCGTTTTGTACATTTCTTTTATGTGTGCAAATAAAGCTTAAATAAATAAATAAAAAATAAAAGTTTGCATTGTCGTAGCATTATACCTCGTGCACTATTTTTGCTAAAGTTGCAGATCGGCGATTCTTCCTGGGCTAGATTTAGAGGGAGTTTTAAAACAGAATGTGCAGTGCGGCCCCCGCTTAGCAGCGTGACGGCTATACCGGAGGAAGCTACGGCCACAGCGTTTTTATCTTTCCGTACGTGCACTAATAATAAATTTAACAAAAATGTCTTCCCAGTTCCAGATTCAATTTGTCCTAATACTTTGTCAAAAACTCGTTTTTGTTCGGGAAGCAAGCGGTACAAATTCGGCTACTTGCTGCTACAAAACTGGTATATCGTAGTTTGTTTC